AACATGAGGAATGTGCCACCAAGCATTGGGTTTTTATTTTTTATTACTTTTTTTCTCAGTCAGCTCTTGTGTAACCTTAACCCTTTGACTCCTAGAACTGATTAACACCAAATTTCTCCCTATTATATCCATTCATTATCCAATACACAGGTGATGAGAAAAATCAAACTTATCAGGTACATTTAGATGTACCTTGATCTAGCACTAAATTCTCTCAGCTAATTTACTATGAAATGTGTTGTAGCTATAAAGGAGAATTGATAATCAGATCTTGGGAGTTGAAGAGTTAAGTTAAATTGTGGGGACAAAGGAAAAGGTGACTTTCAGGCTTTCACAGTACTTGGGAAATGCTTACTACATTTGATGTGAGCAAATAAGTAATTCCTAAGATCTTAGAGAGGTTCTTACAATGTATTAATAAACGTTTGTATTAAGTTGTAACAGTTTTTAATTTGACATTTGCACAAGCACATTATAATATACATTGTTTGGATGGGAAAACATTAAATTCAATAACTGTAAGTAAAAAGTGGTTTTCTTAACTGCTAATTGGCTAGTTTGGAAGTTAACAGCAATTACCACACACCTCTGAGTAGCCAATGAGACAAAATTGCACATCAAGAGTTAAATTTCCAACCATTTTTTGGTATACTGGAGAAATACACTAATTTTTGGTATATGTGTGGTATACACTTAGTCTAAAAACAATTATTCACCTCTGCGTTGGTGAAAGTGGATATTTATCTCACCACTTTGTGGTGTGGTATGTATCCACCAGTATTCACCTCCACTGTAATGAATAATTGTTTATTGTAATAAATATCTTAGTAAAATAATTTTATACAACTTATGAAATAACTTGAGTGAAAATTTTAACCTTACAATTACTTTCTTCTTAATACTAGTAAATTTTTCATACTCCTTTTAAATGTATATTTTAATATATTCTTGAACACATAACTTACCATATTTGACTGACAGGGAACATTTAAGGTTAACTTAACTGAGCAAAACATTTTTTTGGTCAACTTAGGAAATTTCCATTAACTGATAAAAGTCAAGTTAAATCAATTTTACAGAAGTGTTTGAGAGGACAAACAGGTACACACCTTGGTATGATAATCTTAAACTAGCACGCTTATGAATTTTTTCCTGAAGGACACCCATGAAGGTGCAAAGTAACCTTAAGTACCCATAAACCCACCCTGATTGAGTCTCCAGCTATTTCCCTTCTGAGTGGCTATCATGCTCTGTGTACTGCAAGAATGCCTGGACCAGGCCAAGGAATGCATCCATACCAGTGAAGTAGATGGTGTCACTGCTGAGTGTAAGAGATACACACAGGCTAACTGTAAGAATGCAAAGCCAACCATATGAGGAACACTCGGACTGGCAAGTGTGGAGGTTCCATACAGTAAATTGCTAATCACAAGATAAGTTTCACAAAAATAATTAGCCATACAGCAGTAGGAAATTATTCAGGTAGATAACAATATCCAGGAGGTGCCCCTTAAAGCTTTTACTGGAGCTTTGAAGGTTCAATCATATGCCTGTTGACATTACGGGCTCCAATCAGCAAACAGCCACAGAACAAAGATGCCAGCTCAAGACAAACAAAGACACCTCCCCAGTCATACACCTTACTGATTGTCGTCAGATGATTCCTGCCAGTGTTGCTCCCACTAATTAAAAAAATGAAAAATGTAAGAAGAATTTTAAAGCACAAACTTTGAATTTTAGTTTTGGCAATTTTAAGTAATTCCACTCAAGAATAGGGGAAAAAAAAGGGGGAAATTGTTTTTTTTTTAATTTGCTGACAGTGGGATAGAGTTCCTTGCTTTTTTGGCAAGTGGCTTTTGATTCAGTACATGTAGAAGGACACGATTGTGGTATTTGGTTTTAGCTAGTAATGTGGACTCACAAGGCAGGTGTGAGAAAGTTTTTAGCATGGG